TCCGACGGAAGGCCTGGCGACTAGGTTCGAGTTCGTATGATGCGAAATATTATACTCATTCTGTGTAATGTGGACGTCCATCATGATCGATCTCGTCTGTCCGATCACGCTAAGGAGAAAATAAATTTGGACCGTTATCGCGTTTGATCTCGAACATTCGATCGCGCTAAGGGGGATATGGATTCGGACCGTCCACGCGTGCGAGATTGATCTTGTGCCATCCGATCGCGAGGCACGCAGATTGTAAGCGTGGCCTCCCGCGTGGCACCGACATCAGCGTACCTTGCCATGCGGCGCGATCTGATTCGTTGAGGTTGCTGACTGAGCAGTTCTACGGGGTCGAACTTTTTTTATTTGCACTTTGATCCTCCTATTTCTATTTGTTTTTTCAAAAACACTCATATAACCCAAATTTTTATATCTTTTTTTTAAAAATTATTTTCAATCTTGTCTCTAATTTATTTTTTTCTTAAATATAATAAAAATTAAATTAAATTAATTTATAAAATATTTTTTATATATTTTTAAATTGGTAAAATTTATCTCGAATCAATTTTCGAACCCGGATATCACAAAAGTAGTGAATAATCCAACAAGAAAAATAAGAAATACAAAAGGTTCTCCTCAAGATTTGCAGTACACAGGAATTAATGTACTACACATGTATGTTCTAAAACCCTAACGAAGACATATATTACATGACAAAACACTATAAACTTAATTTATTATAGTTAATTAATTATCAAAAGTTGTTCTCATAATTATTTATGATAATTTACTAATTAATATTTGTACCATGAAAGTTTAGGTTAAACAAATTTAAATTAGAAAAAATATATAAGATTTTTTATAAAAAAAATTAAGAATTTTATATGAAATAAAATATAGATTCAACCTGTTTGTACTAAATGCAATTCAATAAATTTTTTTTTTTTTTTACAGTTTAATATCTTGTGGATTTCATTTTTACCATTTTACATAAATGTGAAAGTTTAAAGTAAAAAAATAAATAAATAAAATGATAAAAAATAATTACTCACAAAATTACAAAGTAATTACTAAATTAAAAGGATTAATAATATTTAAAAAGGTTAAAATATTTCAAATCACAATAAGTAAGTAAATGTTTAATTATATTTTTTTCTTTCTTTGTGAATTCAATTATTTGAGATGGAACTATAGTTTAAAATAAATTATCATTTAATTAGATTATTGATATTTTATTATATGTGAATTTAAATATTAAATTGTGTGCATTTTGTCATATGACAATGCATTTTTTTTTAAAGTAAAAAAACAAAATTAATAGTTTATTATTTCTACGTGAAAATTTTGTTTTAGGCTGCTGGATTTATGCCACTGGATACTGTTTAGCATATAAAAACATACTTAATTAATTAATAATTAAAACTTAATTAATTAATTAATCCATATTAGCTTACGTCAGCTCTCGTTGATTTTTTGGATGCTCGTGCAAATTAATGGTCCTCACCTCTGATGCTATCACCTTTACAGATCATCACATTTACTAAGAAGCCCTAGTTTTGATCCTTTGTTTTGTATGCTTTTCTCAATTTTCAAATTTAATAATTTATAGAAAAGTAAACAAAAATTTCAATATTTATATGATAAATTATTTATATATATATATATATATATAATGACAAAGAACATGCATTTATTCCCACAATCATTCGTCTATAATAATCAGCACAGTTCCTGATCTTCTAATTCCACCATAGTCTCTCTGCAAATTCAACCCAACTCCGTTAATCTCTCATGGAGTGCCACAAGGACCAGATCATGAATCCTCCCTCATCAAACAACCCATCCGATCATCATCATCACCAGACCTCATCACCAATCTTCCATAACGATCAGAACAGAAGCCGCCGAAGAAACCATGATGGGGTCAAAAGATATCTCGGAGTTCGACAAAGGGCGTCCGGCAGATGGGTTGCAGAGATCAAAGACTCGTCGTTAAAGCTCCGGCTATGGCTTGGCACCTTCGACAGACCAGAAGAAGCCGCCTTGGCATACGACGTCGCCGCCAGAATCCTCCGAGGTCGAAACGCCAAGACCAACTTTCATGGCGGCGCCGGCGTTGACAACGCTACACATGTGTTCTGCAGCCGGTTTGTCAGGAACCCTAGGGTCCATCAGCTTCTTCTTCGACATGCAAGATCATCGTCGTTAGGAACAACTCCTGTTAGTATTGATGATAGGGGAGTGGAGATGGGAAACCGAGTTGACTCGGCGGATAAGACTGAGAGCATTGTTGAAGAGACGATATTTTGTTCTTCGTTTTCTGGATCGGATCATGATGATGGTGAACGTGGTTGCTGGAATTACAGTAAGTTTTCTGGAAGTTGCAAGGTTTATTCATCTGTTATTGTAGCTCCTTCTTTTAGTGATCCTAGTTGTTCTTCTTCAATCACTGGAAGAGAAAAGGAAGAAGATGGTTAACTAGATTTGAACTATATACATATACATATATATATATATGTTTGCAGTCTTCCATTGAAGCTTGGGTTAGTGTAAGAAAATAAGAACAAATCTGTTATACTGTAAATAGATACGTATATATTTGCGTGTGTATATATAGAGTTAGATAGTCTATGTATGCTAAACATGTATAAGAAGGAATTAGTAAGAAATATTGGGTCATATTATATGTTCATAATTGAGATATTTAATTATCTAGATTATTTCTCACACACACACATGTATACATATATGTATAGCATAGTTTAGATGTGTGATGGAATAATCATTTTAACTTGATATATATGAGTAGATATACATATCTTTGAACTTGATATTATAAGTTATGAATTATTCTATGCTGACATGATACAAGATTGAAACTATGGATTCAATTCCAAATTGAAGCATTTAGAACTCTGATAGATAATAGAAAATTTTCACACACACACACACACGTACACAAGTGCATGTATACGAAGTGGATGTGATCTCAATTTCAAAAAGCATGTTGCATTTAAAAAAAACTTAATCAAGAAGTGTCGTTACAGAAATTTATAAAAGTATCGAAAATATATTTTTCAACATAAAATAATTATAATATCTGTTACTTATTATGAACATGTATTAAGCTCTATTAATGAGTATTCGTGTATCGTACTGTATTATTGAGATAAACTATACAAAAGTTCTTTGCTATTATAATGTTAGATATCGTCTCCTGAACAACTTATACTAAGGATTGCTAAGTGTTGGTTTTCAAATTCTTCAAAAATTTTGGTTGATCTTGTTGTCTATAATTGGTGACTTGGTTCACATGTATTTACATTGGAAAAAAAAAAAAAAAAAAAAAAAAGCGAACCCGAACATCGTAAACTTTGTAAAATTTTTTTTTTTTTTAGAATATGATAAAGATTGCAAAATTAATACATTCAAAATTGCATTAAATTAATCTAAGATGTATCAAATTTAGATTTTATAAATTTAAAATTCATCATTTCAAATTATAATAATATTGCTGATCGGTTAAATTTTCGTGTGGTTTTTTTTTTTTTGAAAGAAATCACGATCCATTTGACTTTGTTTGGAAAATAAATCATTTTTTTTCTATTTAAATATCCAAATGAAAAAGTAAGTCGTAAATATCTTGTACTATTTTAAAAAAAAAAAAGAAAAAAGAAAAAATGGTGTATTTTATGAACAATATTCAATTAGTTTATACTCTATGAAAAAGAACTCATTATAATGTGGACTTTAAGAGGCTTTTCCTCGTTGAAAGAAACATATTTAACACAAATGAATTGGATTAAATTATCAAAACCCAGTCGAACACAACTAGTAAAATACTTCAATTTTTTTAACGGTATTGAATTTTTAGGTGGAAGAGGAAAAAGACAAATTCATGCGACGACATAGTTGCTTGCTGCAAGCCCACCACGACACCACTACTATTATTATTATTACTTCCTGTCAATTTCGCCATCTTCTTCAAAAACTTTCCTCAATTGAAAATTGTTTCAACAAAAACCACTCTGAAAACAAAATAATTGATCTCCTCCGTTTTATAAGAAATAAATTTTCACCATATCTGGTAGGCGGGCGATGCAAGACAGACGAGAATTACATTCATACCTCTTCGTCTCAAAACTAACAAACATAAAACAAAAACAAAACTGTCTTAACCACACCCAAAAAACTCTTAAATGGTATGTAAAAATTTTCAAACAAATTAATTTAAATTGGGAAAATCATTAACTTGTGAACAGATCTAAAGCTTCTGTCTGCAATTTATGATGACAGATAGAGAATTAAGCCGCTGCCGCCTGATAATCCAAATATTCAACATCACACCCATCATCGCCGGCAGAATCTTAAATGACGATGCCAAGTCTGCTACACAGCAACACCCAAGTGATGAAAAGAGAGAACAAGACAAAGGGTACGTGAGAACAGTAGAATATACCCAGTTTTTGCTTATATGCTTCTTTTCTTTTCCCAGGATTCCTCCCCCCTCCTCTTCTGGAACTCAAAACCAAACCTTTCCACATTTTGGCTTTCACAGAATACAGAATCATTTTGATTCAATTGCCATTCCAAGGCCCTTTTTTTTTTTTTTTTTGTTCTTTTTCTTTCTTTCCGTTAATTAAATTCGATGCCAGATTCCACCAAGTACACTTCAACTTAATAGATTCTTCACCCAACTCGGTACCTTTCTCCACTGCATTTTTCTTCCCTCAACTTCTATCACAAATTTAACCCTCAAAAGAAATACTTTTTCTTGCCTCCCGGAATTTGACAAGTAACTGCTTTATCGAGAAATTGACTTCATTGGCGTGCAAATTGAACCCCCTATTAAACTACTTCACAGATCTATAAATGAAAAATGAGTCCTGACCACCATTGGAGAATCTCCGAGGGCAGCCAGCGGTCCACCACATGTAGCGACCTAAGAGATGATTGATGTATAGAATCATAGACATGAAGAACGAAGTGAGCTTTGTTTGATTGGAAAACTAAAGGCCATTGGTATTCTCGATGAAAACAGGAGTAGGAACAAAGGAGTTTCAGAAAGAGAAAAGAGAAAAGCTCAAATTCATTTCTCAGAAAGGTTTAAACATTGGAACAGTTTCTTTCTTTCAAAAAAACGAATCATAAAAACTACTGCTAGAAAAGCCATATGAGAATCCATGCACCACCTTAAAAAAAAATAAAAATAAAAAAAAAAATAAAAAAAAAAACTGGAGAGTGATATGTAATATGCTTTTAGCATAGACGAAAGTTCCTGAAAGGGAATGAGGTAGCCAGATGATTGAATCTAGAGAAGAAAAAAAAAAAAAACAGTAATTGCACACTATTTCCAAAATAATATTATAAGAAGAGCTTCAATGATGGAGTTTCCGGAAACAGAACAGTATCTATACAACAACTATAGAAAAATCCAGAGAAGAAACTAAATAGATTGAACAATATGAATAACGAAAACAAACCAAAATCTTGTAGAAGTACAATAAATTCACCTTAAAAGAAAAATCTTTATCAAGAGATTATCTTGCATAAGAGGTATATGTCGGTGGTACAATTAATAATTTCTGCCAAGCAATAAATGAAGTGTGATTACATCAATTTCTCACATTTTTGACCGTAAAACAACTCGAATAACATACCTAATCAAACAATTACTTGCATTTCAGGAACGTTCAGAGATGCACCGCAAACAAAATTCTTTCATTTTAATATTTTCCCTAAACGACAATTCACGTATCAAGCACTATCTAGTTTTTTCATAATCCATTGATCATTTTACATTATGTCAGATTTAACAAGCTATCAGATAAATAAAAAGAAGAAGCTAATAATGGAAATATGACAGTCTGAAATTAGCTCGAAAGCTATTATATTCAAGGGAAATCAAGATCAAAGTATTGAAAAAAGGGAGAGAGGAAAAAACATCAGGTAAAACAAGGGAAGTTAGTGAGATAGATTTCCAGCAACAACAAAGAAATGTACTAAAACAAAAAAAAAATCAAATAAAATTCACCAATTTGGGACCACAGCCGGAAAATGATAAGGGTCCCTTTTGCTGTTTTCTGCAAACCAACTAGCGCTAGGTAATAAATTGGAAGAGAACAAGGGACAGCGAAGACAAAAAGAAAATTTCAAATTTTTACATTTATCATGGGCTTTTTTTGCTTTTTTTAAGAAAATGATCGAAAAATCTGTTTGGTTGTTGAGAAAGCGAGGGAAAAAAAATAGCTTCTGACTCTACTTTTGGTCTCCGAGGTCCCAATAGTTTTCCAATTATTCTGAACAAAGAGATCACCCGCATACCAGAACACATGCACACACATATACAAAAGCATCAGATATCAGAATCCAAAATTTCTCTCCAACCATACAGAAAAGAAACATCAGGGACAGATAATAACAAATTCCACATATCAAATGAATCAGCATAGATAAATATAGAGATAGAGAAGGAGGGGGTAACGCTGGATGCAGAGGTTTATCGATCGATTCATGTTCTGTGATTTTTCACACCAAATTCCCAGGAAGAGATCGATGAACCGCTGCCTCCAGTGACTTTACCCTTTCGGTTACCAATACAAAAAGAAATCCCACAGCGCATCCAAATCACCCAAAAGCATTTATTGAACTCAAAAAGGAAAGAAAGAAAAAACACAGATCTGAGATTCTGAGAAGTAATAAAGCAAATTTTACACCCCACTACCACCGACAAGACAATGGAAAATCCGGCTTTCTCTGCACAAACAAATATATATATGTATACACATACACACACTCATCAGAAAACCTATATTATATAATTAACGAGAGCATCTTAATTAGAGAAAGAAGTGGGTTTGAACCAGGAATCTATGGAGTCACCATTGCCGTACATCTCTCCTCTCTCTCTCTCTCTCTCTCTCTCTCTGAGCTTTTGACAGGATACACACAGACTTTTTTGGGGGGGCGCCTTCGCGTTATTAGAATGGCTTTTGGTGGGTTTTTATATTTATTTTTTTGTAAAATTCAACCCCACAATTATTTTAAAATTTTAAATTTAAATTTCAACCCCAATAACATTATAAATCTTAATATTTTATCATTAATTAAATTATTTATTTTTTAATTAAAGTATATAAAAAACACTTTGAAATAAAACATTTTTTTTCCCTATATCTATAATTATCATATATATTTTTTTTAGCGGTAATTATATTCTCCGTCTCATTTTCACACGTCAGCATCTAATTTTTATATATTTATAATGTTTTAAGGATACTTTTTAAAATATATTATTATATTCCATTTATTCGTTACATTTTTAGTTTTAAAAGATATAAACTTAATAAGTATATTTTTAAATTTATTTTTCAATTATAGATAGATATATATATATATATTGTATCTTTTTTGGTCTTAATTGCAGGCGGTGATCTTATCAAAATACCAATAAGTATTAAATTAAATTGAATCGGAAACAAAATTAACTTATAATTAGAATAATATTTAATTTATATCATACTATTCATATTTCATAAAATTAAAATTGACTGAATTTTAACCAAGCAAATATTTAAGTAATTAAAAATTGGGTAGTAATTTAATGATTTCACTTGATTGGATAGTAGCCTAAATTTGTTTACATCATTATTCTAAGGATGAACGGCTGTGATTAATTCATTGTTATTTGGATAAACTGATAATCACGAGCTTACTACCCACTGAAGAACTTCCACGTGCAGGTTTAACAGTCTGAAGATGACGTGTGTTTCTTTTATTTGACTAAGATGGTCCTAGTGAAAAAGCCAAAGTGGGGCCCCCGTTGTTTTTTTAGTACAAAGAAAATATTACACGAATAGCTTTTTGGTTATTTTTTAAAATATTAAAAAATAAAATTTACCCAATTTTAAAATTTTAATTTTATGTAGTTTTTTATTTTTTTAATTATAAAATACAAGTAAATGAAAAGAAAAATTATTTTTAAGTATATATACATCAAGACTAAAAAAAATAAATAAAAATTAAAATTAAAAGAATCACACGTACGCAGCGGGGAAAAGAGAAAAAACAAAGCACATGGGACTTACTTTAATCTGTCTATTCTCTCGCTAGTGACGTGCCTAATTACTTATAGAGAAAGTATTCAGCTTTATATATATATATATATATTTATATATTGAAAAAATATATATTTTGGATACCAAAATCATATAATAATATATCCCCCGAACACATTAATAACTTAAATCTCATCACATTCTACTTATAATATACTTAAAAATGTAACGTTCTTGCTGAATTTTTATAGTGATAATGTTGAAACAGATCACTAGAATTAAGAGGAGCAGCCGTCGATATTATATATATATTTGTGTAAATATATATATATATATATAGTTGCATCTATATATATACACCCACGTAGTTATAAGTATATAAAAATACAAAAATATGCAAAGTATACAGTCAAATATCGTTCTTTCCAAAGATTAACAAAAAAAAAGTAAAAAAATCCCTGCTTTAGCTTTAATTAGCCCTTTCCATGTTGTCTTCCACCCATCTACTCTTTCTTATATATCCAAAGAGCCTACACTGCATACACAAATGCATACATACATCACATATATACACACTACATTTTCTTATATATGACTTAAACCATACGTAACTCTAGCTACTACACCCGTATCCAGTAATCTTCTATATTCTGCTTCAACTCGAGAAAAAGAAAAGAGATGGCGACGGCGACTCCGTTGTTGCCGGGGCAACAGCAACAGACGGGGGGGGCTGTTCCGGCCGTGTCAAGCAAGGCTGGTTCAGGTTCTATTGGCCCATTTTTTGCCGTTATGTCAGTGGTAACGGTTCTTGCCGTTCTTTCATGTGTTTCGGGAAGGCTATGCTGCAGTCGTCGTCCGCCGGCGACTCCGTTAGAGAGCATTAACGGCGGTAGGTGTCTTGGGTGGGTCAGGCGACGGTGGCGCCGAGCGTTTGCGGCGGGAGGAGATGTTGAGGTGGGTTGCGGCCATGAGGGTCAAAGAAATGGCGGCGAGCAAGTTAAAGACGATGAGGTTCAAGCTCCATCGTAATTATATACATATATAAAGATATATAGATTTAATTTTTTAATCCATTTTGTCCAGTCCAATTAAATTAAAAATTAATAAAAATCAAAGTGAATTAGAACGTAATCATTTCTTCTCATTGTGTGTGTGACAAAATCTAACGTGGTAATTAATAAAATTATATAAATATATTAATTAATTAAGTTCTAAATTCTCTTAAATTAAAGATTGTAGACATACGTCCTCCAAGTATAAATATTTAATTAATAGGTTATTTTTAGTATAATTACAATGATCGAATTTAATCTTTTGTTGAAATCAAATGAGATCAATTCTTGTTTTATTATGGAACAAGACATGTTTGGAATATGTTTTATCTCATTCAAATTTGACTTTCTCTATGAAAAATAAATGTTTATTAGTCTCGAACTCAAAAAAATTTAATATTTTTTTAAATTGTTGCAGGTCTACAAATTATCAAACAATAACTTAACATGGTTATTTTATCACATTAATATAAATATAATCATATATTTATATTAATAAAAAATTTATATATATATACACAAAGGAGATCGGGTATAGGCAAGATTTGGCTGAGCCCACTCCAAACTGTACATTTTTTTTTCATTAATCCAAATTTAACATGATCTAAACTCGTACTTTAATGCGACCAAAACACCTATTTTCTTTTCTCGCATTGTTACCACGAATGAAACTAGTCGTATTAGTAAAATATTTGGATTTTAAATCTCCAATAATCTCGGTAAGTATTTGAGAGTTCCTTTGTTACGTGATAAAATTAACAAAAATACTTATCATTACATCTTTGAGAAGGTATCTAGCTGGAATGCTAACCTCATTTCCTTTGTAGAGCGTTTAACTTTAACCAAGTTAGTCATCATGACTATCCCTACTTATACTATGCAGACTACGACATTGCCTCAGTCCCTATATACTCAGATTGAAGCAGTGGTTAAGAAGTTTATCTGGGGTCAGGGAGTGGCAACCGAAAAATCAGTCTTATCAGTTGGACTGACATGTGTACGCCTTACGACGTTGGGGAAGCGGACTTCGATCTATCTACAAGTAAAACCAAACTTTTCTGATGAAATTAAGCTTTGTTATGGTTGCGAAGCCCGATCTACTATGGGTCCAGGTCCTTACCCACAAGTACAGATAATCTCGCTTATCGTAGAGTTACAAGCCGACGGGACCAATCTCTCGTCTTTGGCGCAACCTTAACCATCTTTAGATGAACTTTCGAGTTGGCATCAAATGGTCAATTGGTTGGTAAATACTGATTTCTCTCTACCGATAGGCCTCCACTCTCATGTTTAGGTACCAAATGATCTCCAATAACTTTTCACTGACGATATCATGTGTGTCTCTTGGCCTCGCATATCCATGACAATCTCTTAATTTTTTCTTTTACCTTTTGTCTCTCTTTGTACCAAAAAAAAAAACTGAATTGAATTGGGTTTAAATGAATCGGATTAAACATGTTTCTCGTACAAAACATTATCCCTAATAAAGATGCTATATTTTGACGGAAACATAAATTTTTATGAGTTGGTCAATTTTATTGAAATGAACTTTTCTAATAGGTCAAGTTAGTCTTAATGGAGAATGTCAAGTTTTGATAAATTTATAGGTATAATTCGTTAAATGACGTTAATGAGTTGGAGTAATAATAAGTTTTTGAGTTAAAAAATAAAAGAGGCAAATGCTATGTATATTAGATACTTAGATTTAGATATGAAAAAGTAAGTTTCATAAATAACTTTAAGTACGTCATTACCATATTTATCAAAGCATGTGACAATCATTATAGTTTAAATTCAATGAACAACGA